TGTCACATGCACTTGCCAGAGAGAGACAGAGAAGTGGGAAATGATCCTTGTTAGGAATGGCCATGTTGCAATCCTTTCTACTCCATTCTCTTCTTAGATTTTTATACACACACACATCCAGAGTGTTTTTCAAGTCACCAGGTCTGGGACTCAAAAACGCAGAGTTGGCCATTTGAGGTCCAGTGTTTTAACTACCACGCCACCTGCTGGCCTGCAGTTTTATGTCTTCTGCTGTAATCCTTTGTTATTTGATATTTTGGTAGTGATTCCCTTTATTTGCTCGTTAACATTTGTGTGTCTGGGATAGTTGTGTGTGTGTGTTTGTGTGTGTGTGTGTGTAGTTAGCTTGAGGGTTGCATTAAATATCTTGTAGCTATAAGTATCTATTTTAAGTTGATAACTTAACTTCCATTATATCTAAAACTCTACAAATTTATACTACCACATATACTTTGTGTTTTTCTAATCAGAGTTTGTTTCTTTTTGTGCTGTGTATCAACAAAATTTTATCTTTACTTTTATAATAAAGTATTTTACATACCGCCATTACATTTATTTTGTATATTTACACTTATCCGTGAAATGTATGCTTTCATGCTTTTCATATCACTGTTCAGCAAGTTTTCATTTCAATTTGAAAAATTCTCTTAATCATTTATTCTAAGGCTGTTCTTGTGATGATGACTTTCTTGATTTTTGTTTGGGAAAAATGGCCTCTCCATTTCTTTTTTTTTTTTAAACTTATGAAAGAGTGCATGCATATGTGTGTGAAGTGCATGAGTGTGAGAAAAGCATCCTCCACAGGGCTTGGAGATCTGCAGTCCCCTTCCTCCTTTACTCCAGTCCACCAGACTCCTGGGCACAAGCACATGCATATAGAATGTTTTCAAGTCAATTGAGCCAAGTACTCAAACTGTGGTCAAGACATGGTTTCTAACTCTCCAGTCCAGTATGCTTCCAACTATGCCACAGAAGATGGGCCTCCTTATTTTATTCTCTAAAGAGGTTCTTGTCTTTGGGTGGATATACTTGCTGGAGAGAAACAGACAGACACAGTGAGAGGGAAAGTGAGAAATCACTGCCCCCAAGTGGGGCTGGCCTCACCATAATCCCTTCTCTCTTCTCTTCCCAGGATCTTGGGCCCCCCCGCCCACACACACACACAGACCCCGTTGTGTTTGTAAAGCCACTGGGTCTGAGACTTGAACTGCAGTCTGCCATCTGGGAGTCTAGAGATGTAACCATTATGCCATCTGCTGGTTCCAGGGACACTATATTTTTAAAAATAATTTGGCCAAGAATATATTCTTTTAATTTTTTTGGAGAGGTTTTTGGTACAGGGCGTGTGCACTTGCACTCACCAGAAAGAGAGAGACAGAGAGAAAGAAAGTGAGAAATCACCCCCCAGAGGGATGGCCACGCCGCAATCCCTTCTCCTCCATTCTCCTCTCGGGATCTTGGGCACGCACGCACATGCGCCTGGTGTGAGTTTAAGCCACTGGGTCCGGGACTTGAACCACAGTCAGCTACATGGGAGTCCAGCGACATAGCCATTACGCTAATTGCTGGTCCCAAGAATAGATTCTTGATACATAGGTTTTGTGGGGTTTTTTGTTTCCTGTTTGAGTATTTTGAAAATACCATTCTTTGTCCTGGCCAGAAAGTTTACTGCTGAGAAGTACATTGTTTCCCTTTTAACAAGTCACTGTTCTCCTACAGCTTTTAAAATTCTCTTTGTGCTTGACTTTTGACAATTTGATTATAATGTGTCTTGTAGTCTTCTTTTGTTTGTTCCTATATGAATTCTCATGAATCTAGAAGCCCAATTTTCCTCACAAGTTTTGAGAACTTACTACTTCTTGAAATAACTTTTGTTCTTTGTCTGTTCTCCTTCTCTTTTTTTCTTTCTCTTTCATTTATTATTAGTGTTATTATTCACACATTTAGTTGCTATACATCATTATATTGTGAAGAGACTTTATTAAGCATGACGTACCTCAGTCCAGCCAAGTTGAGAATACTATACATATCCTCATCAACAGATAATAAACCATGTCTGTGTCCCACAAGGTCTTACTTCTCTATTTTTTCTCCAGATATCTTTTCCTACACTCTTTTCCTAGTGCTTTCCTGACTGAGCGTGCTCCTTTCCTTTGGGTAGATACCCAGGAGTGGAATTGCTGTATCATATGCTAGTTTTATTTGAAGTTTTTTGAGGAATCTCCATATTGTTCTCCACAGTGGCTGGACCATTTTACATTCCCACCAACAGTAGGAGTGTTCCTCTTTTACTACATCCCCTTCAGTACTTATTAGTTTTTTTTTGTTGTTGTTGTTGTTGTTTTTAATCTTTGCCATTCTGATTGAGGATAGGTGGTATCTCATTGTGGTTTTGATCTGCATCTCCCTTATGATGAGGGATGTTGAACATTTTTTCATATGCTTTCTGGTTATTCATATGTCTTCCTTAAAGAGTTCCTTATTTAGCTCATTTTCCCATCTTTTAATTGGGTTAATCATTTTCTTCTGGGTAAGTCACTTGTGTTCTCTGTGTATTCTGGTTATCAGTCCCGTATCTGAGGCACAGTTAACAAAAATTCTCTCCCATTTTGAGGGTTGTCAATTCACACTAATTACAGTGTCCTTTGCTGTGCAGAAGCTTCTAAATCTGATGTAATCCCACCTGTCTATTTTGGGGATTATTGCCTGTGCTTTCGGGATCTTACTTAAGAAGTCTTTTCCTACCCCAATGTCTCCCAGAGTTTTCCCAGTGTTTTTCACCAGTAGTTTTATAGTTTGTGGTCTTAAGTTTAGATCTTTGATCCACTTTGAGTAGAGTTTTGTTAATGCGGTTCAAATTCAGTTCCTCCTGGAGACAACTCTGAGTTCCTAAATTAACAACCTCCTTTTTCTGTCTTCTCTTTCTGTGTATACACAGAGGAGATGACTTCTATACTTCTAACTTATTTAAATATAAGAACTTTACCAAAAAATTAAAGTAATACTACTAGGTTTTCAGGGAAGTCATGATGCATTTATTTTTCCCTGTTCTTTTTTTTTTTTTTTTTGAGAGGTTTTTGCTATAGGATCTTTGCGCTCCCCAGAAAAAGAGAGAGACAGAAAGCGAGAAATCACCCCCCCAGGGGGATGGTCACGCTGCAATCCCTTCTCCTTTCTCCTCTTGGGATCTTGGGCATGCACATACATGCACCCATCATGAGTTTAAGCCACCAGGCACCAGGTCTGTAACTCAAACCGCGGTCAACTACACAGGAATCCAGCGACACTGTCATTACACTAACTGCTGGTCCCTCTATGTTTTTTTCTATGCAAAAATATGTCATAACTTTCCTGACAACCCAATATAAAAAGTGAGTGATTCTCCACCACCTGCCTACTCAGTAAACACCTTTTTTGAGTGAGTCTAAGATGAAAGAAATGATCTGCTAATCTCTCAGTCTCAGTTCTCAACTGTATTTTACATTCTTTTATTATTATTCCAATGTATAAAGATAAGTATCTATAATATATAAGGCTCTTAAATGCAAGTCAGCAACTTTATCTGGTTCAAACCTAAAAGATAGTCAACAACTAGCAGTAAACTTACTGAGAATTATATTTTCTTATAGATCATTTAAGGGCTTCTTGGTGGTGAGACTGAATGTTATAAACTTAATATTGCATGTATTTTAATCTTGCTTGTTTTCACTAAGAGACTGTGTTCCAAATGAGCAGATATAATTCATTTTTTTAAAAAATATTTTATTTACCTTTATTTATTTATTTTAATTTCCACCAGAGAGGAAAAGAGTGAGAAAGAGAATTAAAGTGAGAAAGCGAGCCGCAGGTCCGAGACTTGAACCACAGATGGCCATGTGGGAGTCCAGTGCCCTTAACTACCATGCCACCTGCTGTCCCCATGCAGATATAATTCTTTTATTCATGTTTGCCTCCCCAGCCTGTAATACTATTATAACTCTATTACTGACATTTTATAAATATGTTTTTACTTAAAATAAATTACAATGATATATGTATATTTGTATGTAAATATCTATGGTTTTAAGAACTCAATTTTTGTTGAGTCTTTTTTTAAAATTTTTTTTGTAACAAGGGAAAACCTTTATCCATTTCCCCTTATTTATTTATAATAGAGCATATGTGCACATTTGTGACAATAAGTGAGAGAGAAAGAGAGGGAGGGATGCGTACCCTCTACACCCTCTACAGGGTGCCACGATCCCCTTCCTCCAGTTCTCCACTCACTGGATCTTTACATTTGCGCGTGTGTCCCATGTGTTTCAGAACGACCATATTAGGGACTCCGACTTAATGGCATGGTACCCATGTGAGTTCCAGTTTCTCTCGAGGAGCACATTACCTCTGTGCCATAGAGTTGGCACCCCTCACTTCCTGACTTTTGTATCCCAAGATTTCTGTACTTTTTGCATTTATGTCTGATTCTGAACTCTAATTTTCCCCATTTGTTTGCATGGAAACTAATTCTATATTCATGTAATTTCATTTATCCAAACATGTTAGGAAAGGTCTTAACTACTAGTGACACTAGATCTACGTATCGATATTATAGTTACACTACCAGGTCACAAACTGTAAACCCCACAATTCTTCCAGGAAGTACTGTTTACAAGTACAAAAATCCACACTTAAAACAAAATATTTTCAGAATATGAAAGGAAAATCAAGTTTAGTAAATACCTCACACACATGTGCAGAGTTAATATATATATTAATGAAGTTAAAAAACAAAGCTCTGCAAAGAGATCCACCTTAAATATTTCTTTGGGAGACGGTATTCTATTATTTATGTCTGTTTCAGCAAAGCAATGTGTTATATGAGCTACTGGACAAAGAAATTCATTATACTGAACTTAAAAATATATGTTAAAATAAAAACTATTAAATGACAGTTTACTTCTTCAATTTACTTTGCAAATACTTGCTTCATGACTCTTGGAATTAAACCACTGAATACTTACCTTCGAGGATGATTGGCATCAAACAATGTGTTGTCATCATCCTCATCATCTTGTTCTAAAGGTGTCAATTCCATGTTCTCTATGTTAGTGTCCAAAACTCCGTATCTCCTAGTCTTTCGGTTTCTTCTTCTCATCCTATTAAATAAAACAAATAAGGAATAAAAATTGTTTTAGTATGGTATACATGATCCTTATTTTATTTTTATTTGCAAATTAAAATAATGTTTTCCTGTTTATGACATAGGAAGTACTCAATAAGAGAATGGTTGCATTTCAGGTCTGCAGCTAATTTACTACCTAAGATTACTTATAATGCATATTAAAAAAAGCATCCCTCGTTGAGACCTGCTGATAGCATAATGGTTACATCGCTGGACTCCCATGTAGTCGACCACCATTTGAGTCCAGGAACCATCAGCTTAAAACACATGCCAAGTGTGTGTGTGTGTGTGTGCCCAAAGTCCTGGGGAGAATAGAAGAGAAAGGATTACAATGTGACCATTCTCCCTGGGCGGGGGGGGCGGGGAGAGGGTGATCTATCATGCTCTCTCTCTCTCTCTCTCTCTCTCTCACTGTGTCCTGGAGAGTGCACATGTCTTATAGCAAAAATCTATAAAAACAAAACAAAACAAAACCTCCCTCGTGTCTGTGTACCATCAGTTTCCACTGTTGACATACCCCATTCTCTGTCAAATGATAGTATGGACATATAATCCTTTAAGCTTTAGTTCAGATATCTTATCTTTACTGATGCCCAATCCAGCCTTCATTGACCTCCTCCATATCTTCTTAATAGAGTGTAGAATTAGAAATTATGGATCCCACCATGAAACTACAAGCAAAGGCAAACTCAAATTCTAGATTGGTGGCTCACAATTCTGGCTGTACCTCAATTAGACTACTTTAAAAAGTCCTAGTCTCAGTCCATAATTAAATTACAATTTTCAGTGATAAGAACTTAGCATCAACATTTAAAGTTCTATAAGTGATTTCCAATGTGCTGAGAGCTACTATCTTATATCAATGATTCTTGAAGTGTGGTTCTCTGGATCAGCAGAAACAGTCACCTAGAAAATTTTAAGAAATGTAAATCTTCACTTCCAACACAGTGAATGATGCTGAATGTGGGGACCAGAAACCTGTCTTTAAACAAACACTTCCTGTGATTCTTATGCATGCTAAAGTTTGAGAACCAGTGCTTTAGAGGGATGGAAAAAGTTTTGGGTACTAAACATGAATAATTATCAGTTGTATATATAAAATGGTATCATGATTTAGAGACTTATGTCTTGTTATTCTTTTAAATCTCTTTTTCTTTTCCTTCAAATCGTTTATCTCAATTTCTATTCATATGAGCTTATGTGTATGTTTACATGGGAATTTATTCTTGGCTATCACACTAAGCTCTATGAGGGGAGCTCCATGCTCACTTATTCAACACTGTATAACCACTTTCTAGGACAGTGTCTAACCAAGTAAAATATTCCTTGAATTATTTTGAGGGTCTGAGTTATTGCTATTTCACTGACACAAAACCATAACCCTGTATAAATCACCTCCAATGCAATAACTTCAACTCCATACAGAGGAAAATATATTTTATGGACAAATTTTTGGCATTTAAAAAGAAAATAGAATTTATTTCAGCAAGCAATCATAAATAAAATTCGATCTACTTAAATTGATTCGAATTTGCTTGATGTAATAAATGTGATAAATACTGAGATTACACCACTAACTGCTCTTCTGTAAAGAGCAATAAGAAGGCTCTTCAAATAGGACAGTAGGGACTCTGGAAGACAAACTGTCCCATAAAACAAACATACACACATACATTCAACAAATATTTGAATCTTACTAAGTATAAGGTATTAACTAACCTATGGTGAAAAGTGCCTGGTCTCAGTGATCAAAATTTATAAAATATTAGAAAGTCTTGACAAAAACCAGTTTCCACCAACAACTGCCTATAGATCTATTAATATATACCTACTCGAGGTGATGAAATAAGGAAACAGAGGTTTAAATATATTTAATGTACTTAAAGTTATAAACGTAACCAACAAAAGAGTTTATAATTAGAACTAACAAAGATGGAGCGGTATGAAGTATAAGTAAGTCTTTTTGTTAATAGTGAGAAATATGTTTAATCCTAAATTAATATGGATATGTGTATGTGTGTGCATTTAAGTAGGTGGGTGGGTGCACATGCCCACACATAACATGCAGCTAGAGGTCTAAATTATTCTATAAAGAATCAGATAGTATTTTAGGCTCTGTGGGTAACATATAGACTTTGTCATATATACATCTTAATTTTTTTTGTTTATAAACCTTTAAGTATATATACATATGTGTGTGTGTGTATGTGTATGTGTGTGTATATATAGTAGAAAAACACAGGGGACCTTTTGAACCATATAATTTAATAATATTTGCATGCCTCTATTTGATTTAAAAAAGTAAGTGCACGAGAGTGAGTGAAAACATGACTCTTTGACATGAGTCAAGAGTATCAAGAGTTATTACTTCCCCTTTGTCAGTTTTATTCAATTTTCTAAACCTTATGACTTCCCAAACATTCTGACATTTTCAGTCAATGGAAAGAATTTAATGTTATGTGAAATAGTTTTTGTAAATAGATTCTTTCAGGTCATATACATCAAATAGTCAATATGTCAATAACTTGGTTATTGCTGGTCACAGGATACATTAGCAAGTCTTAAAGCAGAATGACATAAACACAGAGCTAAGGGCTTTTAAAATTTATCTCAGCTGATGCGCTTCTCTACTCCCCCAATGTCTTCATTATACTCTGAAAAACTTCCTAATCTTTCAGTGATTAGGCCAAGCTAATCTGTCCAATAACAATATTTTCCCTATCTGTATATATGCATCTGAAGATATTAGTTTGAGCATTTTATTATTTATTATAACTTTAATTTAATCATGTATGTAAATATATATTTGAAACATGAATTCAAGCTCCTAAAAAATACCTATTTCATTCACAAGAGGTGAGATATTGTTATACACTACATAAACAGGGAATGCAATTCAACTTAAATAAATGTACTATTTTAGTATATGTATTCATATGAGAATGAGTCAAATAAAAGAAAATTGTTTATAAGCTAATAGAATTTAAGCTTGGAATGTATTTCCCTAAAAATGCCTTTTCTCAGTTCAAAGATACAGGCAGTGAGGATGACTACATGGTTTTGATAACTATTTGACTATAAAAATATCAAATATAGTGAACACAAATATTATTATATGTGATAATTTTTCTTGAGGTAAAAAAACAATTATAAAGCTTTAAAGTAATTGAGCTGATTCATAGAATTGTTTATTTAAAAATGCTTAGAAAACATTGTATAATACAATACATATAAAAATATACTTAAATTTTAAGTAGAAAGGCTACGTTTATCTTTTAATATGCCTGGCACATTACTTTTACGTAGGAGTAAGGGGCTTTAAAATCCATGCAATTTTAATAATGTTTCTTTTCTTTCAAAAGAACATTTTAAGATCATGACACAAAAGTCTGTCTATATGCACAATGATAATTACATATGTATGCCCACAAATATGCTTACTTTTCTAGTAGACACCAAAAGTGGATACTGAAATATGAAAATGAATTTTGTGGGCTCCTAATGAATATAAAAATAGAGAATTTATTTACAATGTGCAGAGCAGGAACTATAGCAGCTTGAGAAAGCAAAAGAAAAAAGCTACCATGGTTACTTATGTTGAATTATACTAAGTGATCACCTGGCATGCACAGGTGAGTGAGCTGATCAGATATCCCTTCTAGATACTCAAAACAGCTACCTTAATACAGATGCAGATTCCCAAATGTCCCATTATATTCAGGTTGGTAAAAATGATTTCTATTCTATAACATGTTTAAGTTATAATATCAAAATAAAACTAAACTACTAAGGTAAGCTTGATACAATTTTATGTAAATATGTATCATGCCATATAAGATAAAAACAACAGAATAAAACTCCATTTCATTTTACTACTCTACAATGTAACTTGCTGTATCCACCTGATGTGATTAATACCTCTTATTCTCTGTTGTTTTCTACTACTTAAATGTTTGCAGGGTATGTATTATATACAGAATGCTACAAGTAATATTATTCTTTAATTTCTTCAATAATACATTCAAACTAGATTAAAGAATACATTATTGAACACACACACATACACACACACTCCCATGGAGTTAGATATAATACAACAAGGTAAATCTTAATATATCAATGTATGACTATTGATACACAATATTTATTTATTTATTTATTGGAGAGGTTTTTGCTATAGGGTGTGTGCGCTCGCCAGACAGAGAGAGACAGAGACAGAAAGCGAGAAATCACCCCCCAGGGGGGATGGCCACGCCGCAATCCCTTCTCCTCCATTCTCCTCTCGGGATCTTGGGCACGCACACACACGTGCCTGGCGTGAGTTTTAAGCTACCAGGTCTGGGACGCGAACCACGGTCGACTACATGGAAGTCCAATGACATAGCCATTACGCTAACTGCTGGTCCCCACAATATTTTTTTTTTTTAATGAGAGATATTGCTATGGGGTGCTTATGCTTGCCAGAGAGACAGAGACAGAAAACAAGAAATCAAACCCTCCTGATGGAATGGATACTCCATGATCTCTTCTCCTTCATTCTCCTCTCCGGATTTTGAGTATGCAAGCATACATGCCCGCCCTGAGTTTTAAGCTGCTGGGTTTGAAACCCGAAGCACAGTCAACTAAATGGGAGTCCAGCAATGTAACCATTACATCATCTGCTGGTCCTGAGATACAGAATATTTTTAGCAAAAGTCACCAGCAGTCTGACCAATTAGTAACCAAGTATGAATTTGAAACTAAATTTTTGCCATTGTGATGGAAGCAAGTAAAAATTAGTGAGCCACAGTCTGAGTTCACTATGATTTTCATCAGGATATCCAACCCCAATGGATATATGACACAGTAAAAATGCTTTGGCTTATTTTTTAAACCAGTGAAAATGTGCACATGCACAAGAAGCAGAGACAGAAAAACTTCCTGCAGTGGGCCCTGGTTATGCTGTGATTCTTCTGCAATTTTCCATCCTTAGGA